CCATAATATGTTGGTAATATAATAACATAAATGAATGCAAATGCACCTGGAGTATTTATACCATAAGGCATAGCACATACATCACCACGTTTTTCTTTATATGCAAGTTTTCGAGCCATATATACATAATATAAATCACCCCATAACATAGATAGACCAACTCTAGAAAATAATAAATAATATTTTTCTGACTAAATATATTTAATTTATTAGTTTATAATTTAAAATAAGATATTTTTTTGCGAAATATTTACCCAGGTACAATTTTACCATAGACAATATCATTTCCTAATATTGGTTGTAAACACAATATTGCTGTTAATAAAGTTGCCAAATTATTAATAAATAATGCCATAAAACCATCAATATCACCTTTTACAAATAAGGGATATGATGAATTGAAACGAAATGCATTAATCCATTCTTTTGGATGAAATGAAAATATTTGTTTTAATTCACTTTGAAAAATTCTTCGACGGTTGTTAACAAATCGATGTAGTTTTTTATTCGATCTAGTTTCATTCTGATCATCTTTCGTTTCAATTGATAAAGTTGAACCTTTCATAGGTATGGACATAATAACATAAGATAAATGTATAATATACGAGATACCAATTAATCTTCTCTCTTCAAATAATTCTTACTGCTATCTAAAGGTGAAAATAAACAAACAATAAACGATTATTGACTCATAAATTTTAATCGATTCTTTACAAAATATTATGACATACAAAGAAATTTACTTTGACATAACGATGTATATTCTTGATTACTGACAAATTCAAAAAAGTGAATGCTAACTTAGTAGTAATATATAAGAGACAAAAAACAGTTAGGACGTCCCTGCTCAAAAATCGATCTTGGGTCTAGATACATTCAACTCATGCAAGAAATTTTCAGCTCTATAACATGATGTTTTCGGAAGGTATCCAAGAATCAAATACAGGTTATTTGACAATCGAAAATCCTTACATTTCAAGAGAAGAAAAGTTCAATGTCTCAAAAAATGGCGTTCTATTTACAGACATGGTCTTTCAAACAAAAACACTTCTTCGAGAATTTTCGGATGCACGATCAGAAAACATTAACAGAGAAAAAATCTGAAAAAAAAACGAAATGCCAAAAGAAAATCATATGTCATTTATGAAAGATCAAACCGTGCGTCATCTTCTTATGTATTTATCTCAAGTTTCATGTTTACGAAAATTGACTTTTTTTTCTTATAAATGAAAGAAATAATCAAATTAAAAATATCATTTTTTTTTTCAAAGATCATATTAATATAACATCTACATATTTTTACGGTAGTTGTTAACAAGATCTTTTTATTTTGAACTTATAAGGAAGGTTCTTAATAAAACTTAAATTCTTACCTAATACAAAATGTTGCAAATAATTCGTTAAAAGAAGAATATATAAACAGTATATAACTTCTGTTTTATAAACAACAGTAAGTGTACTGATCGAAATGTTTCCCTCTCTCTCTCTATATATATATATGCATGTTTTCTTTTTATTTCCAGTGATTATTCATCGATTATCGACCTTGACTATATTGTTTGTATTTGTTATTGTTTGTCACTAATTGAATTTTAAAAACGTGAGAATAAATGAAAAGCTGAGAAAGTATGTCATATAGACACATACATGTTGTGTCTAATGAAATTGATTCACAGGTTGTTTGTTTTGTTTGTGTTCATGCATATAGTCACAGCTGTAACTATGCGGATAATCTCTAGATGATATCATCGATCATTTCAATTGATAGTATTGAACATTAAATAGTTTATCTGTAACAGCTTTAATTGATCTAATCGTTAAATTTTCTATTAAGTTCATTCAGTACGTGATGTCACATTGGTGGATTAAAATACGCACATTCGAAAATATTTATTCTAATGAAAGAATTTCTGTATATAAACATTCGTAATTTATTTATCTTATGAAATGTTACTAAAACTTAGAGATCAAATTCTATTTTTATTCGTTCATGTTTCGATTAACTCACGATGCCACTATTCACCAGATTCTATTCATTGTTATTTTCAATTTCTTTTGATGATTTTATTCAAAAAGATTCAAACAACATATAGTTAATTTAGTAAAGATAGTGGAGTACATATAAAAATGAAAGTAAATCTATCACATTGACTTTAATATTATCAAAAAATTTTTTCTCCACAAGAATTTACTATTTTTTTCTTTCAATCAGATTTATTATTGTACTATGTACCTATCAAATTGGTTTTATCATAATACAAGGTATGTGGGTGGTAATTATCAATAGGATTCGATCAATACATGCATAAAAAATCCTTGTATCTTGTTTTTTTTTTCTCAACCTATTCGTTTAATATCTTCATATGATACAATT